AAAGCTTGGCATATAATTGTTTTTCTCTTAACACAACCAACACCGCCCTCAGATGTTCCTGGTGTTCTTCCCAAGTTCTAGAATAAATAAGAATGTCTTCTATAAAAACAATAACAAACTTATCTAAATAAGGACGAAAGATCTTGTTCATGTAGTCCATAAATACTGCAGGTGCATTTGTTACTCCAAACAGCATGACCACATATTCATAATGGCCATATCTCGACCTGAACACCGTCTTCTGTACATCCTCTTCTTTAACCAGTATCTGATGGTATCCATATCTCAAATCAATCTTAGAAAAGATTGATGCTCCCTGTAACTGGTCTAATAAATCATCAATCCTCAGCAATGGGTACTTGTTCTTGATAGTCACCTTGTTTAGTTGCCGGTAATCAATACACAACCTGGAGCTCCCATCTTTCTTCTTTACTAGAAATACAGGAGTGCCCCAGGGAGATACACTCGGCCGAATGAACTTCTTTTTCAGCAAATCCTCTATCTGTTTCTTCAATTCAGTCAATTATGCTGGAGCCATCCGGTATGGTGCCATAGAGATTGGGCCTGAACCAAGAATTAGATCAATCCCAAATTCGACCTCTCTCTAAGGTGGCAACCTTGGTATCTCATCTGGAAACACATCAGGAAATTCACTCACAACCGGTACCTCTTCTAGGATATTATCTTTCACTTCATCCATCTGAGTCAGGATCAAATAACACTGAGCTCCCTCTCGTAGCTCTTTCTGAACCTGCCGAGCTGATGTAATAAGCTCATCTCTTGATTCCGGATGTACCAACCTCTTCTGTCCACAGTCAATCAGAATGCGATTGGCAGATAACCAATCCATCCCTAAGATCACATTCATATCCTTCAAAGGTAAACCAATTAAGTTCACCTTGTACTGTCGTCCTTCTACGACAACTGGGCACCTCAAACACACATAGGAAGACACCACCAGTCCAGTTGCTGGTGTAGATACCCTCAATTCATAGGGTAGGTCACACACAAGTAACTTAAGTTTATCCATACAATTATCAGTAATAAAAGAATGGGTAGCACTTGAATCAAACAAAACTCGTAGAGGTATATCAGAGATAAAACACACACCTTGCACTAAATTCTCTGACCTCGATGCCTCTGCTCCTGACAAGGCAAACACCCGTCTTGCAGCTCTAGGTTTCACGTCACTCCCTCTGGGTGCTAATGATGCCCCAACTAAGACTATAACACTGGGCTTCTATGGACAGTTTCTAGCCATATGTCCTGGCTTCTAGCAAGTGTAGCAAAGACCTGCCCGAGAAGTCTGGAAAGGAGTAGTGAAGGAATTCTGTGGGCACTGATTCCTGTAATGAGGACCTCCACATTGAAAACATTTCACCCCGGATACAGATCTCGATGATCAAGGTACTGGGGTAACACTGCCACTCCTAGAAGACTGGGGGCGTGAATAAGACATCCTTCTCTCTGATCTACTACCCCCACTTAGGACCCCACTTGGGTGGGTCCTCATCACTCTGACTCCTCTCTCCTGGAGTCTCTCTATTGTCTTCGCTTTCTCCACTAGCTCTGAGAATCTCCTGATAGAGAAAGGAACCACCATGAGCTTGATCTCAGCCCTCAAGCCCTCCTCAAACTTCCTGCAAAGCCACTGTTATGAAGATGTACCTGTGTAGAAACGAGATAAGTGCTCAAATCGTACGGCGTAATCATGCACCGTCATATTACCCAGTCTCAGACTCAGGAACTCAGTCTCCTTCTGAAATCTAACACTGTCAGGGAAGTATTTCTCCAGAAATCTCTCACGGAAGGTTTCCCAATTACACACCTCCACACGTGCAATCATCATCCTTTGAGTCCCTGACCACCAGAACTCAGCCTCATCCACTAGTAAGTATTTCCCGAATGTCAATTTCCTGTCTTCCGGGCATAAGGTAGCCTCAAAAATCTTCTCCACTTCACGTAACCACTTCTCTGCTGCATCTGAACCCAAATCTTGTCCAAAACGAGGCGGATTATACCTCATAAACTCAGTCAGCCCCATATGCTCTGATTGGTGGAATCCAGCAGAGGATGATGCCATAGTTGGCCTCCACTGCGGGTAGGTAGTTTGCTGCTGCATGGCAGCTGCCAACATTTCCATTGCCCTGACTAGGGCATCTACACTCGGTGGAGTAGGAGTAGGAGTAGGAGGTCACGGTGTCATCCTACATCAAACGCAACCATCAATACAGAGCAAACATTCACACACACTCACATATCAGAGTATAATCACAACGGACTTATCATAGGTTCACTACCCATCCCCACAGATTTACAGGGATACTACCGCTCTAATACCACTATTGTAACAACCCTAAAAATCGCTACTATAATGATGCCTTCGCAAAATAGTAAACAAGTAAATAATGACATCTATCTTACATTATATTACTGTAATTGTAACATAGATTGAAATTCTGGTTCACTAACGGAACCTCAAAATATAGTAACATAATTTATTTATATATTATACATGTAAAAGTAGCTCCCTCGAAGCTATCCCACTGAATTATCCCTGCTGTCCAGTAGTCACATCTCCATCTCTTAATTCTTGATCTGCTCCCACATAAAAGTGATCATCGCAGTCTTATCCACATGGAAAAATTGGGGTAAGTATTAAATCATTTGATATAATAAAACAAATATAGAAGTAATAATTATATATTATGATCAATTACGAAATCATCAACACACTAAGACACCTTCCGGAAGTATACCTTAACTATGCCCAAACTCAGAGGCTATCATCTGTGGGCACATTATGATCGGCACTCGCAATACCATTTTGACCACCCTCCACACAGAGTAGGATTACTGGCGGCCTTCATCACTCATACTGGAGTACCCCTCCGAGCGCACCACCAACCATCCCCCCATCGACTTCTCACCACCTGATCCTGTAGTCTACCTGACCGGACCAATCAGTGAAGTTTGGGACCTCATTTAGAATCCTCTGGCATATTTATTACACTAATGTACTTTGTACCACCCTGGGTACCATTCAAACACAACAAAAATCATTCACATTTGCCAGATTCTGGATCACTTGTCCTCACGGCTCATTCAAGTCAATAAATAATAGTACGTAACTGATTCTGGGCACCAACCCTTCGGCTCAGTCTAGCTAATACATAACATCTAATGATCGACTATGGGCATCGGCCCTTAGACTCGATATGACCTACACACGTCACAACACACTACTGAATCTTTAAAACTGCTACATTCATTCTATATTTTAAATATAAATATATATATATATATATATATATATATATATATTATTCTTCTTCTTCTTCTTCTTTTTCCGAAATCATTTTCGAAATCACTTCCGAAATCATTTCCGAAATCATTTCTAAAATCTTTTTCGAAATCATTAAATTATTATTTTGCCCTTAATCTTTTCTGAAAATTCCATGTATGTCCCTAAATGACTAATTTACCCTTGGACATTTTCAAAAATTCCTTCCATGTCCCGAAAATGACTATTTTACCCTTGGATATTTTCAAAAATTCCATTTATGTCCCTAGGATGTAAAATGACTATTTTACCCTTGAACATTTTCAAAAATTCCATTTATGTCCCTAGGATGTAAAATGACTATTTTACCCTTGAACATTTTCAAAAATTCCTTTCATGTCCCGAAAATGACTATTTTACCCTTGGACATTTTCAAAAATTCCTTCCATGTCCCTTTCTTCTTCCTCGCACCAATAACAGTAAAAAATTGTGCAGATTTTGGTAGATTTCAAATTACTCAGTTTTAGACAACCAAACTAGTCCCAAATTCAAATTAAACATGAATTATATCTAATTTAAGTTGAAAACAACAATTTTACCATATAATTCATCCTTAATTTTAAGAATTTCAAAAACTTTCAAACCATGAACAGTGCATCCAAAATCAGAAATTCTTCAAAATCAGACATTCAAATAATTCATATCTCTACTCCTATTCCTTATTCACACGGTATTCATATAGTACCCAACAATTCAATTTCATATATTGAATGAATTAAACTTTCCCTTACCTTGTGTGGTATTTATACCGAAGCTTTCCCACTTAATTCAAACTCTCTCCTGTTTCACCAGATCCTGCAGGAGTAGAGTATGTTGCTTGAAATATAGATAAAAGAAGAGGAAAGATGAGAGAAAAATTTAAATTATGCTTTTCCTCATTTACGTACGCGCATATATAAAAGCAAAAATTTATTGTGCATGAGGAAAATTTCGTTACGAAGTTTTCTTGCACAATAATCTTATTATAATATTAAAAAAATATGTCACAATATATATATATATATATTATAAATTACTCAAAAAAACCATTTATTTTATTAATTATATTAATTAAAATAAAATTTTTAAAATAATAATAACAAAACTAAAAAAATCTTCCCCTAAATTCGTCAATTAACAATTGACTAAACTGAAGTGTTAGAGCGACTTAAAAAATAAATTTATATATTAAAATTATTATACACCAGTACGACTTAATAAAAAATAAAAAATAATAAAATTGTTTATTAATGTCTACTTTTACATTAAAATAACAAAATCGTATTTTAATATATATAAACATATCCTTTTCCATAAATTTAAAAGTGAATTACACCTATTCAATAAGTATACAGGTGTCATTAAGCCATAATCAGACTATGTATTAATTTGGTGAGTTAAACTAAAAGAGTGACCTTAAAAATTTGAAAGACTAGATTTGTTTACTTTTAGGCGAGAGAAAAAAAAAATCATCAAAAATAAAAGCCAAAATTATATTTTAGACCAAAAAATAAGGAATCGTTCACGGGTGTTACGCTGGTCTCATGGGTGTCACCACCCACCACCTACTACACCCTTTCTTCACTTTAAAACCCTATCTCACTCTCACTAACCCGTTCATTCACACACTCACATTTCCACTTTGAAACCCTACTCTTACAACTCCAATCAACCACTCATGGGTATGCCAACAACCACCACAACTTTCTCCATTTTCTTTTCTCTTCATTTTCATTCGTTCTCCGCTTCTCCCCATCTAACTTTTTTCTTCTTTCTTTTCGATTTGTTTTGTTTCCGAACCATTTGCATGCATCAGGCAAGGTCAAGATCGGAATCAACGGTAACGCTTCTTCATCCTTCGATTTCCCTTGTGTTCCTTCAGATCAGTTCAACGCTTTTTCTACTCTTCAATTTTCACTTTTTTTTTTTGAAATTTAATTTAAATTTAAATGTATCAGGATTTGGAAGAATCGGCCGTTTGGTGGCCAGAGTGTCTCTTCAGAGAGACGATGTGGAACTCGTTGCCATTAACGACCCTTTCATCACCACCGATTACATGGTACTGCTTTTCTCCTACTTTCATACTCAACCTTTCGATCTATCTAACTATGAAGGGTAGAATAAGGTTTATGGTCCAGATCGATTCGGTTTTTGCTTATTTACTATTATTGACTGTTGGATCTGATTGTTGACGGGGTTTGGTTGCCCCTGTAGACATACATGTTTAAATACGACACTGTTCACGGACACTGGAAACATAGTGATGTCACCGTTAAGGACTCCAAGACCCTTCTCTTTGGTCAGAAGCCAGTCTCTGTTTTTGGACACAGGTCTATTTTTTCACTCTTTTACATGTTTTCGGTTGTTATGTTTTGGTGTTTTCATCATAAACGGTGTTGTTAAGCCCTTCGTTGATCTTCAGGAACCCCGAGGAGATCCCATGGGCTGAAACTGGAGCTGAAATCATTGTTGAGTCCACCGGAGTTTTCACTGATAAGGACAAGGCTGCCGCACATTTGAAGGTTTTTATTTCTAGCACTACCCCTTTACCACTATTAACTATTTCCTTTGTGTATGAGTCTGTTATACTTTGGTATGGTTGATGTGTCATGTTATATTTTTATCTGTATACCTTGTATCCTTTGTTTTATTTTTTAAAAATATTGCATGTGATTTATTTATCATTTCTATCCCGTGTGTGTTATTGATGTTAACGTGGATGTCTTTCTATTAATAATCCAGGGTGGTGCTAAGAAGGTTATTATTTCTGCCCCCAGCAAGGATGCTCCCATGTTTGTTGTTGGTGTTAACGAGCACGAGTACAAGCCTGAATATGATATTATTTCCAATGCTAGCTGCACAACCAACTGCCTTGCTCCACTTGCTAAGGTTTTCAATTCTCCAGATTCTGTGTAGTGGACTTTGATGTTGATTTTGTCTAATATATTTTGTCCTAATTGTTTCTTTACAATTTTGCAGGTTATTAATGACAGGTTTGGCATCGTTGAGGGTTTGATGACCACTGTCCATTCCATCACTGGTGAGTCTGTTGACATTTCCTTTCCTGTTACGAATCTTGCCTCGTACATACTATTTACTAAGTTAGGTTTATATTTTTGTCTTGCAAACCAGCTACCCAGAAGACTGTTGATGGACCATCAGCCAAAGACTGGAGAGGTGGAAGAGGTGCTTCAGTTAACATCATTCCTAGCAGTACTGGTGCTGCTAAGGTAAATTTGATACTATATTTTGTTTTTTTGTCTCTGTCGTAGAATCGATATTGTACTGTTTACTTATACTTTTCTGTCCAGGCTGTTGGGAAAGTCCTCCCATCTTTGAATGGAAAATTGACTGGTATGGCATTCCGTGTTCCTACCGTGGATGTCTCAGTTGTTGACCTCACGGTGAGGCTGGAGAAGAGTGCCACCTATGACGATATTAAAAATGCTATCAAGTAAGGGCATAATACGTTGATATTACTCTTATTGGTATTCTGGTGTTGTTGAACCATGTGCAAATTTTCAAGGCTTTTGCTATTCCAAACTCGATTCAAAATTGGCTACACTTTGAGATTGGTCCTTCTCCATTGTCTTATATAAATGTTTTCTTTCTCAGGGAGGAATCAGAGGGCAAGTTGAAGGGAATTCTTGGTTACACTGAAGATGATGTGGTCTCCTCAGACTTTATCGGTGACAGCAGGTATATAAATTATGTTCACAGTTGAGAAGTTATTCACATACATGATCACTGTAGTGATACTTCCTGTCAAAGTTTTTGTTGCCTTTTTTTTCTGTTGACATTATTAATTTTTATCTGTTTCTCGAATGGTCTCATTGTACCAGATCAAGTATTTTTGATGCAAAGGCTGGAATTGCATTGAACAAGAATTTTGTGAAGATCGTCACGTGGTACGACAATGAGTGGGGATACAGGTAAATCACCTTCAACCTTTCTCATTATATAATAGTGTGTTAGTGCATCACGTAACAGAAATTTGGTATTTAATTAACCCAATACGTTGCTAATTGGCCAAATCTAAATCATGGGAATTATATTTATTATTATTTCAGCTAGATCTAATACATGCTTTGTTCCTGGTCTTTGCAGCTCACGTGTGATTGACCTGCTTGTTCACGTTGCCAAGACGTGTGCAAAGTAACTTGTCTACACATTAGTACTGTATGTTTATGTTAGCTTCGAGTTTAGTGTCTTGCTCATGCAAAAATGAGAAGTCTGAATAAATCGGATCCCGGAACGATTGTTGTTACACTGTTGGGAGAATTAAGCTCTTTTTTGTTTTTTCTTTCCCTCTTTTGTTGGAGGGGATGGGAGCTTTTGGATTTTTATATACTTGCTGATGTATTAAGCTTGATTGATTCTGAATGTCGACATTTGCCCTCCATTTTTCATCTATGTTCTTGAGTGTTTAACCCCCTCCCCCTTTTTTGCTTTTGTATTTTTGATTCATATTATATATTTTTCTGCACGTTTATAACTTCAACCTAACATTTTTGTTTTATAAAAATCAATTGGGGGCGAATTGGATATGGTTAACTTTTAATAGAAACAATGACGAAAAGTTGTACAAATTTATTGGTCCGTAAAAGTTTATATAGTCATTTAGCCAGTCTTTTGGTATAAAAATTTCAAGTATGATGTATTAGATGGTTGATTGCATTTGCGATATTTCCCTCAGGCTTGGTTAGAATTATGTCATACATGCTACATGTTTTTAGTTATCTCTTTCCTGTTCTTTAAGGATCATGTAATTATAAGATCTTTCTTACCTGTTGTCCTTGGGTAATTTTCTTGTCTCTTTCCTTTTTCACTTATCGGATTAACTTTTTCCATACAGTATATTGTTGATCACTGTGTTGTTACAATAGAGGGGAATGAAATAGGAACACGGAAATAGTAGAATTTGTTGTGCTGCTACACTCGTACAAGACCAATTTTATAAATTTCAACTAAATCCCCTCGATATTGAAGGTAAAAAGATTATTAAATACTTAAGGATGAAACTTTACATAACATTGAAGTAACACGTGAAAAGGCTGTTCATAAAGGTAAAACTTGTCAAATATTTTCATGCTCATAAAATTTCAAATATAAAACTAAGCATGAGTTCCTTCACTCTTGTAAATAGTAAAATATTACAAGAGTGAAATAAGGGACTTATAATTTTACGTCATTGTTAAATAATTTTTATTTAATTTTATTTTAATATTAGGAATCTTAAGTAATTCTAAATAAATTCTTATTTTATATATATTTTTATATATTATTTTAATATTTTATATAAAAATTAATATATTTATTAAATAATTAATTACTTTAATTAATCACACATCATTATATTTAATATATAAAAATAATATAAATATATGATATTTAAATAAATATAATAAAAATCAAATAACATTATGGAATTGATTCTCTTTAATTTTTTATAGATAGTTTTCGGAAATCAATAAAAAATGAAAAAAATAGAAATCAATTATGTGCACAATACAAATGCATAATAATAAAAAAAGGAATTTCTTTTTGTATTTTATTAATTACATAAAAATAAATTGGAATTCTAATGGAATATGTTTGTTGTTTGTGAGAATCCCTTGAATCACTATTACATTACTTGATTCAAAGGGTTCTTAATCATTTTATTGTTTTTTTTTTAACGTGGCCAATCTCCTCTTTTTTGCAATTAGTTTCGCTACAGTACCAACTGTTCTAGCTAATTGTCCACCCTTTCCGAGTGTGATTTCTATGTTATTTATAGTCGTGCTTAAGGGCATATCAGTTGGAGTAGATTTTTCTTTTTATCAATCAAAACCTCTTCCCAAACTATACAAACTTCTTACAAAACATATGACTTTCTGGATGTAGCTGATGATATATGCTTCATCAAATCACATGAATCCATTTAGCAATACTGGAATTTTTATTCTTTATACTGAATTACATGAAATTTTACCTAATCCCGTATATCAAATATTTATTAGTGTATGAAATACCTATTATGAAAGGAGAATATACTATATAAAATTTATTTTCATTATTCTATTTTTCACATTTTTGTCAAATATGTTCTACCAAATTTGTTTGAAGTTGGTAGTGAGTATTTTTATCTTGAACCGCTATTTTCCTTTAAAGGTACGTAGATTTAAAATTAGGATGAAGACTTCAAGATATATCAATAGTTGATATGTCATTTATATGATATCATAATCAATATAATTTTGATAGGTATGTTGTCCTAAACAATCATATTGAGTAATATGATACATTCATAAGTTATGTTCTTTAATGTATGAGCATCCAAAAAAATGTGTCAGACCACGTATAATTGCAAATCGTGCCTTTTCTTTTTCTCTTTCTCTTGGCTACCTTTTGTCCTATGGGACGAGATATTGGTGATGTTGTTTCACATTCTTTAACTTTGTGTGGTGTCTCTGAGTTAGAAGATGATGAATATGCGCCTGAAATATAAATCTTGCATCTTTTTGAAGAATTGTCCATAAATGTCTATTATCATTGGTTCATCTCTTAACAACAACCGAGTGTGTTTATATTCAAATTTTTTTCCCTTTCAAATTTTCTATGAAAATCTTATGTGTTAATGACATAACATTTTTATCGGCCCAACCACTTTTCCTTTGATTGGTAGCTTGTTTGTAGCATGCATCAAATTTTTGAACTCCAGGGTGAAGTTTACTCCATCGAAATTTTAATTAACTCACTGACTTCTTTGTGAAAATGCTATGTTCGTCGTTATTGTGGTATGCTTCTTTGATTTGTTCTCAATATTGGGTTAATGACTTATCAACTCCAACAATTGGATCATTCAACACATTCAACCATGATCGAATTAGAATCATATTCTTTAGTATTGAGAATGCTACACAAGGTTTCCTCTGAGATATATTTTCACTGTTTCCATCAAGTTGGATATTATCGTGTCCGATCGGGGAAGGAGACTCTGTGTTGGATGAATGAGGAATGTTATTCATATTTGATGTCATTAAATATGATACAAACATAAAAAAATAGTGGTGAATAAATATAATTTTGGGAATTTTTACCCATAAGAGATGAATGATTTTGCAATAAATTAAAATAATACTATTGGAATCCATAATTGGAGAAGAAGAAAAATGGTGAAATGAAGGACATGCAAATTTTTTTTACCACTAATGGAGATTTTATAATGTAAAAAAGGTGCAAGTCAAGGACTACAACGGTAAAAATTTGGATGAACGACTATTTTTTTCTTAATAACAAATATATGTAATGAGTATTTTTCTCCATCTCCTTTCTCCACCCTCACCTCTCCTTTCTTCATTTTCGTTATTCATCTCCTTTCTTCCCCCTCACCTCTCATTTCTCTATTTCAGTTCTCCTTTTTCAAATCTCCCTTCCCCTTTCCGCTCTGTCTTAGTAATGGATACATGTATCGAGTATTTTTCCCTTGCCTTTGTCTTCGTGTTTGCTTCCACGTCCCCTCCGCGTCCACCTTCACCTTCGTTGTCTGCCTCCACTGTCTGCATGTGCTTCACCTCCGCATCTCGCCTCCATCCCTTTCCTCTTTCGTGTCCACTATCTGCGATAACAATTTATTCATCGCATCCGCGACCATGGTTGTAATATCCGAAAATTAATTTATGTAAAATTTTTTCAAAAACAATGTATTAAATAATATTTTAGGTATTTTAAATAAATTTAAAAAGACTCATTTATGTAAATATATATATTATTAAACTATTATAAAAAAATATTTATTAAAATAATAATTATAGTTTAAATTAAAAAAGGATATTTATTATTAAAATCAAGTTAGTTAATTAATGATTATAAAATAAAATTGATTATTGAAAAAAAAGACCTTATCTCTTTAAGAGATAATGATTAAAAAATATATATAATTAAATAAAATAAAAATATATAAATATGACCTTAACTCTTTAAAAGATAATGATTATAATAATAATAATAATAATAATAATAATAATAATAATAAAATGTAATCTTATCTTATCTCTTACATTAAATGCAAGTAAAAAAAATAATTAATTATGATTATAAATAGGGGTTAGGAAGAAAGGGAGGAGAAGAAAGGGAAAGAGAGGAGAGAGAGGGAAAGAAAGAAAGAAAAAAGGGAGAGGAAGGAGAGAGAGGGAGAGAGAGAGAAAGGGAGAGGAAGAGAAAGAGAGAAAAATGATAAATAATTTAAAAAAAAAATTGGTGTAACATTTTTAATCCTTAATTTCTTAAGGTAGGGGAGTAAACTATTATCATTTTATCTATTTTATTTTAATTATATTTGTGGAGTAAGGTGTCCCTAACCTTATTCTATTTATTTTGTTACTTATTTATTTATCTTCAACTACTTACTGGTATATTTTACATTTATTTATTTATCTCCAGTTATACACTGATCCTATTTTAATTATCTCCAGTTACGTACTGATCCTGCTTTATGTTTATTTATTTATCTACAGTCCTGCATTGGTCTTATATATTTATCTCCAATTACGTACTGATCTTATTTGTTTATTTTATTTTATCTTAAGTTATGCACTGATCCTATTTATTAATTTATATTTATATTATTTAATTGTTTTTAAATAGTAATATCTATTTATGAAGATTTGATGATATTGTAGATAGAGGTTGGACCTTAGGGATTGAAATGAGTAAATATCACTCGAGAGAGTGATTAAAATTGGACTCATTTATCTTGACTAGTCACTGTAAATTTAATTTAAATGTTCATAATATGGAATAAATGAAATATGTTGAGGAAGTTAAAAAATATATTTTATATATCATTATAAGATTATATTATTTTAAATGATAATTGTTCTCACTTCCTTATTGTTATTTCTTGTGCATGTTACAACTAAAATATTAACATAAATAGATGGAAGCCTCAAGGTGGAAAACACGTATCATTCAACCATTGTTAGAAGAAATTTTTTGTTTATTAATTTTAATAATTGTTTTTTATATAAAAACAATGTAAACTTGTAAAGCTCACATATTTGTACATATAAATGTATAAACATTTTATCTTGTATCTTACTTTTGTCAAGACTTAATAGAAAGTAGTAATATCTTAAAATATGGTTAACAACGTAAAATAAAAAGGATGTCACATTA